TAGAAATGTCCCCTTCACAGCTTGCCTCTGCTGTGATTGCTCCTTCCCTGGCTCTGGTGTTCAGCAACTTTGGAACCACAGTCCCTGTGAGACAAAAACTGTTGTCAGCATGAGTGGGGACCACCTGGGACAAAACTTGGGGTGCAGGGCTTGACCATTCGTTAAGAAAGAATTGCAGAGGTGAGAGAAGGGTGGTGATTTACACCAGGACAAGCTTAACCAAGAGGCTGGAGGGCAGGGAGCAGCTGAAAGCTGTTTGAGAGGCATGGGAATTTGCAGGGTTCTCTAGGAACATGCTTATCTCTCTTTAAAAGAAAAGCAAGCCAAATTTGGTGGTTTCTTTGTTTGTTTTCTTAAATACACTTGCAGAGAGTTAGGCTTCTAGACCTATCTTTAGACTTCTTAATATGTGGCCCAATTTTCAAAGGTACTCATCATGTAGCAACCCTCCCACTAACTGGCTTCTTTCTTGCTGTGAACTGTCCTCAGAGAGGGGTTTTCAAGTGTTCTCTTTGCTTTTGACAAGAAACATTTATTCCTCTAATAAAAAAAAAGAATATAACACCTGCCTTTTCTCATGCCAGCCCTCCCACTTTGTTACTCCTCAGCCTCAACCCCAGATAAGTGTCCTGCAAACAGCACTGATAATGTGGCCTGGCCTCTTCCCACCCAGTATAAACTTCAGTAAGATATCAACAGCATTCAAAACTCATCAGAATCATTGTGTTAGTGCTTTCCATGGTATCTGGTGGGGGTTGAGTGCAGAGGAAAATGAGTCTCACTGCTGTTGCAATCGGCTGCTCCTTCCTCCGTCAGCATCCCAGGTCAGACGTGGTAGAAAGGTTTGGAGCTCCTGGCCATGAGGAACAGGAAATGTGTGTTCTAAAGGAAGGGCTCTTCCCTTAAAAAGAAAGAAAGAAATGCTCTGTGTTCATTTCTAGGGAAAGCTTTTAGTAAGTGCTTAGCAGCCAAAACTGATAGCGCTGGCTCCCTTTCAGCTTGACTAATTTGAGAATGTTTGTATTTTTTTTCCCCACTCAACAGCTCCCTCACACACATTATGCAGTATTTTCCACCACAGCAAGACTGGTAGGAAGAAAACTTGCAACAAAATCACATTATTACTTGCCCTAGCTCTGTGTGCCTGCCATGAATTTGTTTTTGTATCTCACAGATTTCTGTGAAGGGGAAACTCAGTCTGATTAGCATGCTGCAACAATTTTATGATTACATATTCGAGAGGTTGTTCAATCTTTTATGTTGTCACTAAACAGCTGATATCTAAATGCAGAGGACCATCTGAATGAGTACACTTGTACTTTTTTGGGTTGATAGGTGTATTTGAAATAAAAAGCGCTGCAATGCATTCCTGTTTTCCATTAAGATCTGAAGAGTTTCATCCTCTGCAGGTTGACAGGAACCACTTGACTAGAGAGAATGTGCAGATCAGAGCAGAGTTTGCCCTTCTGGGCAATCGTGGGGCTGCAACACACCAGCTGGAAACAGTAGCACCAGTTCTATTAGCACTTCAGAATCTCACACAGACCCTCCACAGTTACACCTGACCAGTCATTCCTCCACCTAAATACATTCTTTTTTGGCTCATACAGAGCTTGACTATGGGGGTTGGAGGCAGCCCTGGACTCACCTAGAAATTGTCAGGTGAGAGTCAATCACGCAGACAAACTCAGAGCAGCTAAATACAAGCGAAGGGCTGTGCTTGATTGCTGATGCCAGCTTTACTCAGGAATGTGATATGGGATTTCTGCAGCTTGTACCGGGCAACATCCTTTATTGAATGTCTCACGTACTGTCAATTATGCATCACAATTTAGGAAGGGGTTATTTCAAAGGTCAGCTGGACAGCAGAACCTACTGGAGGACTTTTTCAGTTCAACTCATTCCAAGTTTGCAATGCAGGAAAAACCCGCCTTTGCTGCATTGCTTTTGGGTGTATTCATGAGCACATGGATCAGTTTTCTTCCTTTTGTAGGAACACCAATAAATCTCACTGCTTTTGCTTAGCAGGTGATAATGATGCTCAAATGTTGTGTGTCTTGTGAGGTACTGAACTGCTACAAAATGATTGCTTTCTCATACCAAATTCCCACTGGGCTGGATTCATCTCACCAGCTTTGCTCATCCAGAAGGAGGTTAGAATTAGAACTGCCTCCTCCAAGTCAGCTCTCCAGGCTCCCTCCTTAGTCAGCTGAGACGTAGGCACTGCTGAAAGGGGTCTCATTTCACCTTTCCTACCCACCCACATCATAACATGAGCCATCTGGAGGCAGCTGTCTGTCTCCACCGACTGGACAGGGAGCATGGACCACTCACTTGGGCTGGACACTTAAGTTTTAGACCACTGGAAGTGAAATGTGATGCATCTCACAAGATTTTTTTTTTTTTTTTGCCCAATAGCATGCAGGCAGTGCAAAGTCTGCACCCAGGAAAAAAAACTCCTGTAAATGAAATTTACATTTCAGTGAAATATTTTTGCCCATAAAAGACAAAAATGTCCATCGAAGACATATGGATATGATTAATTCTAGGAAAAGCCATGAAAATGTGGATCTGGAAGAAGATAAAGACATAAAACCATAAAGTTGGCTGCCACTTTTCAAGTATTTCAGTATGTAGTAATATACATAATTTTAGATAAAATTAAGTTGAAGGTATATTGGTAATTTTTTCTGAATACCTAATTCCTTTTATCCCATTGAACAGGGTGCTCTGGTCACATATCACATATTGAACACACATGTGTGTTCCATCCCACTGGAACAGGTTGCCCAGAGAAGTTGTGGAACTATCCCTGGAAGTGTTCATGGCCCTCCCTCCTTCCTCCCCACCTCAGTAATCCAGGGAATAGTCTGAATAACATGCTGGAGGTCAGAGCTCCAGGGTTTGGCAGTTTCATAAGGACTGAAAGATGTGTGCTCCAGTGAGTGGCTTTGGATTTGAACCTGTTCCTTTGTCTCTTCTCTCATTTTACCTCTCACTCTGCATAACAGATGATGTTTTCTTTATCAGGTCACTGCTGCAGCTGGTTAAATACAGGTTAGCAGGTCTCTGGAACTCGGTGGCTGAGGAGAGGTTTTCTTCACTCCTGGGGCAAAGACTCAAATCTTGTAGAGCTCTTGAAGAAAAGTCTTGGAAGTGCTTTTTCTTTCCCTTCGTTTTCTCAATCAAAATGAGAGATTTCTCAAGCAAAATGACAGATTTCGGACAATGGGACTAAATGAGGGGTTAGGTCTGTCTGCTGTGGTTTTTTATCTCCATGGCTCAAGGAGGGATTGATCTCTTTTTGGCACCTGATTTTAGAAAAGCCTTCATGCCCAAGAGACACGACCAGATCATGGGGCCTTTTCTTGCTGGAACTTGGTAAGGTGGAACCGAAACTCTTGTCTGTCTTCTTACTGGTTTCGACTGCCTTTTTGGGTGTTTTTCTGTTCAACCTTTTGTTTTCCATGAAGGAACAGGATTTCCTGGTTCTCACTTTTCCTTTCCTGCTTCTGTGCACTACAGGGGAGGGGTCATGTGTGGGAGTCAAGGCCAAGGAGTCCAAGACCACAGTGCCTGGATGCCAGGTGATGCTCAGCTGAATGTCACTTTACCTCACTGCTTTTCTGAATTTGGCTCCTCTGGCCTGGATTGATCCCATTTCTCCCAAAGCACTGATGCCAGGATCTCAACCACACTTTGTTTCTTTAGTGCCTGGCAGTGTGAGAGGCTGATCCAGCCCCTCAGCTCTTAAGTGCCCTTTGGAAGTGCCCTGTTCTCTCTCTCCCTTGCTCTCTGCTGACTACAAAAGGTGCTGGGATGCACAAGATTCACATCACAGGTGCTTCTGCTGCCCATAGGCCCCTGGGATGCATTCCCTGCATCACTGGCTGTGGTGGAAACGGGGTTCTGTCTGTCTCCACAGCCTGTGCTGAGCCTTGCTGTGGAGCTGGGCAGCCTCACCGCCCTTTTGCTGCCCAGCCACCTCAGCTCTCTGGCAGAGCCTGCTGCTCTGGCAGCGGGCAGGGAGCCCATTCCCCGGGCAGTCCGGGGTGCCAGATAACCCCTTAAAGGAGGCTTTAAGTGAAACAGAAATGAAAAACAGCTGTAACCAGAAATGCGTGTTAAGCAGGATCTGTGCTGTGACACCATGAGATAAATGCATCTCCCACATCACTCCTAAATCAGAACAAGGACCCTCTCAAGAGCAGCTTTCGGGCTGCCGTTACGGTCGGTGACCAAACTCATTTTTCCTTCTTTCTTTTGCCAAATTATTTTTTGTTAAAAGTTTTTGTTTTGTCAGAACCGTGTTCATGCTCTGCATCATTTGTTAGTCCTGCTTCCCTGCCAGTCCTGCCAGGACCCCTGTGCCAGGGGCATCAGACTCCTCTCAAGTGGTAGAGGTACTTCATAGCACGTCACAAGAAAGGTTTCCTTTCTTCAAACTGAATCAGCCCCTCTTCCCTTGCTTGGAAGTAAGCTGTTTCATTTAATTGGAAGAAATCTTGAGTTTCTGTTTCAAGGAGGGGCAGAAACAGAAGCAAATTAATGAAAAGCCAAGGGTGGGTTACAAGACCTGTGGAGCAGACCTCTCCCACAATCATCCTTGAGATGCCCACTGGGGTGTTCTGTTTAACCTGCCTGATCCCGTAGCGGACCTGCCAGTCCCGCTGGGCACCCCGTGTCTCACAGCCCGCTGCCTGGCATCATCCCTCCAGGACATCTGGCACTGATTCCAACCAGACTGTCATTTCCAGGTCAGTCTCCGCATTTCTGCTGACCACGTTGCCCCCATCATGAGATCATGTCTTTCCAGAGGAATCCTGCTAATGCCTTCATTCTGCGAGACCGGTATATATAGGGGGAGCTTCCCTGGGGCTGCACCGCGCAGTCCAGCCAAGGCACCGCCGTCTCCCCAGCAGCGGCACTGCCCCTTCTGCTCTCCCCTTGCAGCCACAGGTCGCAGCAGCAGCAGCAGCAGCAGCAGCAGCAGCAGCAGCATGGACATTACCATCCAGCACCCCTGGTTCAAGCGCGCTCTGGGACCCTTCATTCCAAGCCGTTTGTTCGACCAGTTTTTCGGGGAGGGTCTCCTCGAGTATGACCTCCTGCCTTTGTTCTCGTCCACTATCAGCCCCTACTACAGGCAGTCCCTCTTCCGCAGCGTGCTGGAGTCGGGCATCTCAGAGGTAAGGGCCCTTTGACTTCCTCTCCTTTTCCTTCTGCTCCCTCCTTGTGCCTCCACCTGCTCCTCCTCACCTGCATCCCACCAGTGGCTGTAGCCCTGTGCTGTGGTGCGAGGGGGCTCAGACCTCCAGCCCACCACCAGGCACAGTCCACTTGCCCTTTCTTGGGTGCAGAGGGAAACCTTCCCTGGGGATAAGCCCTCCCTTTGAGGAACAGAACCATTTTGGCTCCTGATGGTTGTTTCCAACACGTAAAAAACTGCCTTTGCTACTCTGTGCCCACCAGCCGTGTGGCAAGGAAGAGCCAGGCTGCTCCCAGAGTAAGGGCCTGCGAGGGCAGCTTGGCATGGGAGAGGAGCCTGGTGGGCAGGAGCTTTCTCCAGCCCCCTCCTCCACCTTGGGAACACGGTGGTTTTAACAATCCCACGCTGAAGGACCTTGGAGCAATCCTCCAAAGGCAGCTGTAGGAGTGTGTAGCCGTGGGGGCTGCCTTCTGAGCTCAGGGATCAGTTCTTTCTCTGGCCCTTTCTCACTGCGAGACCACAAGGAAACCATTAAACACGGAAAGGACAAAACACTGGCTGTCAGAAAGTATTACACTGGTTTCCACCCCTCTTTGCTGCTGGGTAAAAATGCCCAGCGCATCTGGCAGAATGCTGAGTGCAAAAGGGTCCCTGACACAAGAATAGCAGCAAGAAGTGACCTCTCCCCAGAATAGTTGCAATGGTGCAGACACCTACCATGGCCTCCCAGTGTCCCTGACACCTCCCAAGGCCTCCCAGTGTCCCTGGGTCCCTGTGAAGGGAAAGAAAACCCCACCTGAGGCCCATAGTCACAGAAGGAGAAACTGTGCCACTACCAGACCACTCCATCTCTGGCTTTTAAGCTGTTGGTGCTGACTCCTCACTCAGAGCTCGGGTCTTACTGTCTGACAATGCTCGTTTCAGGTGAGGTCTGATCGGGACAAGTTTACAATCATGCTGGATGTAAAACACTTCTCTCCCGAAGACTTGAGTGTGAAGATTATTGATGACTTTGTGGAAATCCATGGCAAGCACAGTGAAAGACAGGTAAGTGGAAGTGACGTGATGGTGGAGCAACTGGGGAGTCGAGCTCCGTTTTCCTTCTTTCCAACAGTTCTCAGCTGAAGGAAAAAAAAAAAGAATTTATCAGAAGAAGGAGTTATTTATTGATTGTCACTATTGGCATGGCCAGTTCCCATAGAGCCCCAACTTGATATCTGACAATAACAAGCTAATCCACTCCTCTTTTGTTTATTTTCAATCATCATCTTCCATAACCGTCAGATGACGGTGTCCATTGTTCCCTAATAACACTGGACCAGACAAAGAACATCATCTGGCGCTGCTGAAGCATGGCTGAGTTTTCATAAGCCAGAATCACTAGTGAAAACAGAGTTTTCATGTGCTGATCTGGGAGAAAAAAGCAAGAGCAAACAAAAGAAAAGAAAAACAATCAAGTGCCTCAGGCTTGGAAACTTTTAACACGTATGTCATGGAAATATCTGTGGGGGTCAAAAAGTGAATTATACCAGCAGGGGTTTAATTCTTCTCATACACATATTTGGCCAGACAAAGCTCTAGTCTGGAAACAGTATGTATTTTTTAATATAGTTATTTTTTCCAGAGGAAGAGAGCAGCTGTTTTCATGGCCAACTTAGAAAAAATAATTGCATTTCTCCTTCTTTTGGCCAGAAAAAGAAGGGGGCCAGGACTGTGGCTGACACAGCATTGCAGCCTAGTAAATAAATACATGGGTGCACATATCCACCTTGCTTTTGCCTTCCCGGAACTCCGGGCTTTGTCTCCAAGCATCCTTTGAAATGAGTGGCCTAAATCAGGTCTCAACCTGTAATATGGCCAAAAACCACACCCTGCTGCTCTGCTCGGCTCTTGCAGCTTCAGGGGCATCACGGGGCACTGCTGGCCCCACAAACCTGTAAAGCATTAAAGAAGGCTGTGATGTGCCCAG